CACGCCGCTGGTGAGGAGCTGGCAGGAAATGCTCGCCTCGCCAGCCGCCTGTGGGTTTGGCAGGTGACACCAGACTCATCTCTGCTGGCCGGCTGGATGGTGAGGGGGAGTGTTTGCTAGCGAAGGGAGAGCAGAAAGAAGGATCCAGGCTTAGGACAGAGCGAAGAGGGCCAGGTTTCTCCCTGCTCCTGGTCCTCCTCCAAAGGCCTGGGCCTCCTGCAGGTCAGGGCTGCGCTGGCCCAGGACAAGGCAGGAGTGTCCGTGGGGTCTGGATGGAGTTCATGTCCCAGGAGGAAGGCCTGATATTTCAGGGTTATTTAGAATAACATTTATTTATTTATTTTTTTTTTCTAAAAAGCCATGAGGAGGAGTTCAGATCTGGCTGGAAACTGGTCTGCATGTTTATTTTCCTCATTGTCTCAGTGGAAAAAAGGGTGGGTGATTCAGACAGCAGCCTCCGCCTCTGGGCCGGGGCCCGGGTCTGTCTCCACTCTGTTCTCTGCTCCTCCGGGGACCTGTGTCAGCCTGGGGAGAAGCTGCATGTTACCTCCCACATTCGCTCTGAGCTTCCAACAAGGGTCCCCCGAGGAGGTGAAGATCTAAGATCAGTTTTAAACACGCAAATGGTAGGGAAGGAAACAAGAAAGGGAGAGGTCCCCCAGGGATGAGAAGAGAGAAAGGGCAAGTTCTCTAAGGAAGGCCTCCTCCCCTCTCCCCTCCCCCCCACCCCCCTGACCTCCTCACACCCAGTCTCTCCCCTGGCTCTCCCACTCACTGCACAGGGGGCCAGGCCAAGGTCACCAGAAGGCATGTGAAGGCACGGCCTGGCTCCATCCCAGCCCTCCCTGCGGTCAAAACTCCAGCTGGAATAAGGGGTCCTAACCTCTAAGCACCAAGCACCCTCTCTGGAGGGGAAGGAGCTGTGTGAAGACCTCCGATAACATTCTTCCTCGGGAGGTTCAAGACTTCCCCCAAAACATTCCTAGGGATATCGCCGATCCCAGATGGGGCACAGGAGCTAACAGAACTCTGCTGTGAGTTACTCAGGAGACTCAGGGGATTCTCGAAGTTTAAATATTTACAAAATATTTAAGGGAGGGGAGGGAGGACAGCCTCACCAAGAACTTTAGGAGGGAAAAGGTGGGGAAGGCATAAAAACAGCCTGTTCAACTCTGAAAAGTCTCCGTGCCACAGACTGCCCAAGTGCTCTGTAGACTGTCACAACAAACACCAGATACTTCAATCAAGTCCTACTCCTTTTGACCTCCTGAAGTAAAACATCATCATTATCAACACAATCACCACATGGGGAGCAGCGCCACCAGCTGCCACGGCTCCCCTGTGCGCCCCAACACCTTCCCATCTCCCCCCAATGGCACTGGGAGGGAGATTATCCCCGCTGTGCAGCCGACAAAGCCCCAGACACACAGAGGCCTGGCTTATTTAACACTAGAGGCCCGGTGCACAAAATTAGTGCATGGGTACAGTCCCTAGGCCAGGTCTGCGATCAGGGCCATCTTCCCCAGCTGCCGGCAGCTGGCCCCGCCCCCTGCCACCACCCACTCCCGGTTCCCCATTCGCCATTGGGTGATCCGTGCCTGATGGTCAGGGGAAAGGACTGAGAGGTCGGCTGTTCCCACCTGTTCGCTGGCCCTGCCCCTGCAGCAGTGGCCATCAGGCGATTGGAGCCTGCCGGCCGGGGAAAGGAACCAAGAAGTGGTCAGTGCACCTCATAGTGACTGGTCCAGCAGTCGTTCTGGTCGTTCTGCCATTAGGGTCAATTTGCATATTACCCTTTTATTACATAGGATTGTGGACAAATAAATGGCAGGGCTGGGACTCCAGGGCAGCCGGCCTGCCTTTCAGGGTGCACGTGAAAGCGGCCGTGCAGGCCCTGGAAGAGGGAGGGGCTGAGAGGGAAGGGCAGATAGGATTCAAAGGGGTGCCGGCTTTCCCAGCAGCAGATGACTCCTGAGCCCATGAATAATTCACCAGAGCGCTGTGAGAGAGCTGGTTCTTTTTGTGTGTGGTCAGGGACAGCTGTGTGTGGCCGGGCCACAAATGTGCGGACTGGACCCTCCAGCTCAGAGGCACAGCTCAGAGCAGTTTTCTGCTCCGTTCTCAGGGGCTGAAGGCTATTCTGATTCCCAGAGGAAGGCAGGGTTCTTACATGTGCTTATGAGTGCCCACCTGCATGTAACAAAGAAACAAACAAACCTTCATGCGTGTGATATGAAATCGAGACATTCGTCCTTGGACTTGTATTTCCCTCCATGGGCCTCATCTCTGGTTCCCTTCTGGGAAGGGCTCTCTCCTATCAGGAGGTTGTGTTCTCCACCCTTCTGTCGACTGTCAGACTCAGTGTTACTCCTGGCCTAGTCTTGTTCCTAGACAGGTTTCATTGCAGGCATTTCTGGCTGGAATATGTGAGGAACTGGAGGGCGGCAGCAGACAGCAGAAGCTGAGAGTGGCAAGAAAGATTATAAAAAAAGACTCCATCTGCCACAGAACCTCTTCCAGCTGAACGTGAAAAACAGAAGTTGTTTTCCTTCCTTTTTTTTTTTTTTTTTTTTAAATGGGTCCTATTGCAACTCTTAAAAAAAGAAAAAGAAAAAGAAAAAGGGATATGAGCTTGAAGGAAGGTCCCTATAGGAAGAAGTCTGTACGGGCCCAAGCAGCAGGCAGGGCTATTGCATGGCACAGCTGCTGGGGGGGTATCTCTGCACAGAACCCCAAGGGGTACCTCTGTGGATAGCCCTGTGGGAGATGTGAAACTTGAGGTGCACAGGCAGTGGGGCTATGGTCTGTCCTGAACCCACAGAGATGCAGAAGCTCTGGTAGATGATGATTTATCTCTGTTCTGCAAAAGGAATCCGAGGCTTCAAGTGACTCACATAATCGCAGAGCTGAGATTTAAACTCAGACAGCCTTGCCCCAGCCCACACACTCACCAACGGAGCCTGGTGACTGCAGCCTAGAATGACAGAATTCTTGGAATATCCCAGCCCTGCAATGTGAGCAACACAGGCTGGTGAGGAGGGAACCTAAGCCAGCTACACTCCTGGTGGAAGGGGTCAGGGAGTGCTTCCATCAAAGTGTCCAAAGGGGCAAAAATACCCGGGCGTGCTTCTGCCAGGTGGTCGTATTTCAGGTCAGGGAGAAAGAGACAACATCTATAATAATAAAAGTGTAATATGCTAATTAGACCGGACATCATTCCAAACGTCCTTCCAGATGAAGCTGGGGCTGCAAGGGAAGCTGGTGCCGGCAGCCAGGGGAAGGAAGGTCTACTCTTGCACGATTTCATGCATCAGGCTCCTAGTGTTATAACGGAAAGTCAGACCTGGGTTAGGTTAGAATCTTGGCTCAGCCATTTCTAGCTGTGTGGCCTTTATTCAAAACCATTGCTACTTGGAATGAAGTTTTTAAAAAGACAGGAATGCCTCAGAGATTCTTAGTTAGCTGATTTGCCATGGGTTCTCAGCATTAATGACTTTTATATGCTTCTCTATAAATATATTTTTTATTGATTTCAGAGAAGAAGGGAGAGGGAGAGAGAGAGATAGAAACATTAATGATGAGAGAGAATGATTGACTGGCTGCCTCTTTCATGCCCATCTTTCCTCCTCCCCCCCCCCCCCCCCCAACTCCCCGGGATCGTGCCCTGACTGGGAATGGAACCATGCCTCCTGGTTCATAGGTCAGTGCTCAACCACTGAACCACACCGGTTGGGCAACATGCTTCTCTTTAATTGATGTGCAACCAGGTTTTTTTAAAAAAAATATATTTTATTGATTTTTGTACAGAGAGGAAGGGAGAGAGATAGAGAGTTAGAAACCTCGATGAGAGAGAGTCATCGATCAGCTGCCTCTTGCACAACCCCCACTGCGGATGTGCCCGCAACCAAGGTACATGCCCTTGACCGGAATCGAACCTGGGACCCTTCAGTCCCCAAGCCGACGCTCTATCCATTGAGCCAAACCGGTTCCGGCTATGTGCAACCAGGTTTAAGAACTACTGATTTAGGCTCTCTACCTGCCAAACAAACAAACAAACAAACAAAACACTCATCCCCAGCTCAATCATCCTATAGCTGGGGATGAGTCCAAATAAATGTCAAAGAGAACTGCAATTTAAAACTCATCTAGGAAAGCTGAGCTATTCCTTGTGAAGGTTAACAATACACAAATGTAAATAAGCATTCCCCTTCTCACCTGTTCCCTCCCAAATGCACAGAAATGAACACTGGATTATACATCAATAATAATCCCCCAGCCCCCTTCTTCTCTGCTCCCCCTGCCAAAAAAAAAAAAAAAATTGGCAAGTGTAACTATGTGGATGGTGTGAAATAGATGGGCTAGACCCATGGCCTGCAAACTGCGGCTTGAGAGCCACACGCGGCTCTTTGACCCCTTGAGTGTGGCTCTTCCATAAAATGCCACGGCCTGGGTGAGTCTATTTTGAAAAAGTGGCGTTAGAAGTGTAAGTTTAAAAAATTTGGCTCTCAAAAGAAATTTCAATCGTTACACTGTTGATATTTGGCTCTGTTGATTAATGAGTTTGCCGACCACTGGGCTAGACAGACAGGTGGACCAGAAAATGGATCAAGGTGAGAGCTGCCCTATGGGATGGCGGGTAAGTAACAGGGCACAGAGCGCTAGAGAGTGAGGGGAGGGGAGAAAGGCACAGGGCTGAGAAATGGGGTGGCGCTGAAGTACCTGAAGACGTTACCTTTAGCACAAAGCACCTTCAGCTTCATCACAACCCCAACAGATCTCAGTTTCCCATTGGAGGGTCATCAGGGCCAGGGGTCCTTCTAATGTTTGGCAACCCCTTCACACTCTTACCCTCTGCCTATCACTCCTCTGTTGAAGAGGAGCTTTTAGCCGACAGCCTGCTCTCCTTATTCTAGGAGTCTGAAGGCCCCGTCACAGCCCCAACCGCCCAACCCTCCCCCAGGGCGCACCTTGCCCTTTGGAGAAGGTCTGTGCTCTCCTACCTGCGCTCTCCTCCGCCTGGCTGAAGCCGCAGATCTGACAGATGCTCTGGACCCACTTATTCATGTCCTCCTCGGTTTCGGCCACCAGGTAAAAGGTGCGCTCGCTGGTCTTGATGTCGAACACGAAGCTGTCCTGCAGCTCCTTCTTGTTGAAGGTCAGGCCCGCGTCCACCTGCTCGCAGAAGTTGAGGTTGATGATTCGCAGGGGCTTCTTGGAGTGGTCATTCTTGTAGTATTCCAGCACGTCGGGGTCGCCGCTCATTCGGCCGCTCCGCAGGATAAACCAGCGTTTCTTCCAGGCCTGAAGGGGAAGGAGTGAGACGAGGGGGGAAAGGTCATCGGCTGTCTCAAAGCTTTCCACGGGCCCCCATGTTATTGCGAGGTTAACAGTGGGCACGGGTGCATCTGCAGGCTGAACGTGGGCTCTGTCTCTCTCCCTTTTTGCCCCAGAAGTGGGGGGTGATCTTGGAATGCACTTCACTTTGCAAACAGTTTTATCACCATGCAGTGAATTGTGTGGCATTCCCACTTTTTAGATCAGGAAGTTAGATGTGGATGAAAACACTTTACAGCAATTATTCCATTAGGCGAGAATACAGACTCAACACTCACAGTACTCTAACTCACAGGGTGGAGCCTGGGAAACCATAACATCTCAGTTTATGGATGGGGACCCCCACTAAGACACGGCGAGCCGAAGCAACAACGCCACACCAAGCAAAGAGCAGAAAGCAAGTTTCCTAACTTTCGTACATTGTACAGTGTGTTTTTCACCACATCACAATGCCTTGAAAGAATCACAGAGAAACCCTTGTAAAACTTCTCTGAAGCGCATAATTTTAGGATTTTCCTGCCTGTCTCCTTCACTGCTATATCCCCAGTACTTACAAACTAGAACATCTCATTTTGTGCGCAGAACCTCCAATGCCTTTTCTTCTCACTCAGAGTAAGAGCCACCTCACCATGGCCAAGGGGGGCCCCTCCTCCCACATCTCTCACCTCATCTCCTGCCATTCTCTGCCCATTCTGCTCTGGCCAACCTCAGGGTCTTTGCTCTGCTTGCTCCCACTGCCTGTAACAATCCTCCCTCAGATATTCCCGTTGCTTATTCTTTCTTTCAAGTCTCTATTCAAATGTCACATTATCGAAGAGGCCAGTTCTAACCACCCAACCCTCACATTCTCTTTGCTCTGCTGTACTGGTCTCCTAGCGCTTATACCACCTCGAATACCAAATTTATGTTGAGTGTCTCCCAGAATGTAAACCCCATGAGGACAAGGGTTGGTTCTGTTTTAATCCCATGCCACATCCTCAGGGTTTAGAATAGTGCCTGGCACATAACTGGTTATTGATAAATATGTACTTAATGAATGAATGAATCATGTTATTCCATGAATTTCTCACTGCAGTAGTAGGTCATGGGAACTGAACTGATGCCTAATAAGCCTAAGACAGAAATGAGGGTTAGGGTCAAGCCAGACAGAGCAGAGGTAAGAAAATAAACATAAATACTATTTATATACAATTATCTGAAGTCTTGCTCAGGCCACTGCTTACAGAACTCCATGTGTGCTGTGTGTACACATGCCGCAGGGTACACATACACATGTATACGTGTGGGTCAGGAGCATTTAAAAAGATATTGTTAATAGTTCAGCTTGTGTTTGGTTGATGTGTGCCTTTCAGGGGTAGTCTCTGCAGAAAGAGCTGTTTCCGAATCTCTGGAGTGCAGGTGTCAGCATAACCACACACAGCTCCCTAGTCAACAAGAAAAAGGTGCTTGCTCCAGATAGCATCGAGGCTTGTCGGTTCAGCTCCGAAGGAAGCAGTGCAGGCTGACAAATGGCTGCCTATGAAATGCTGATAAATGTATGACAGAGCAGGCAAGGCTGGTCCAGTCCCACACCCCCATCCCTCTCTGACACAACACCTCTTCGAGTCCATGCTGTTTTTTTTTTTTTAAACCAAACAATTCAGAACAAAGCAAATTCAAAACCTCTAGCTCCACTGACAACTTCTCTGATCCCCTGAGGTGAAATGAAACTTTACTTCCACTGAACCTTAATAACACTATAATAATAAAAAAAAATCCTCACCCAAGGCTATATTTTCATTGATTTTTTAGAGAGAGGAAGGGGGGTGGGGAGAGAGGAGAAACACTGATGTGAGAAACATCAATCAGTTGCCTCCTGTATGCACCCAACCAGCAAATCTAACCCACAACCTAGGTATGTTCCCTGACCGGGAATTGAACCCACAACCTTTTGGTGTATGTGATGATGCTCCAACCAACTGAACCACACAGCCAGGGCAATAACACTTTTCATGAAACTTCTCATGGCATGTCGTTTTTCACAACCTATTACAGGTATCTTTGTATTTGTTGTTTCTTCGCAAGTAGACCATGAACAACATCTCCTATTCCTGAACCTTTCTGATCTCTCTGGCCTCATTTATGTATGTTTCCTTTCTTCCTTTCTCTCTTCCTTCCTCCCTTTCTTCCTCCTTCCTTCCTTCCCTCCCTCCCTCCCTTCCTGCTAGCCATCCAACAAATATTTATTTAGTGCTTACCATGCAATAGGCATTATTCCAGATGCTGAGGATATAACATGAATTCCAGGTCTTACAGGAATTCTTATTATATATTATTCTTCAAATGTGCCACATAGAATTAAATACGATATAAAAATAACTATATACCATGACCAAATGGGGTTTATTCCAAGGATGTAAAACGGATTCAGCATTCAAAAATCAATCAGTATAATCCATCATATTAATAAGGTTAAAGGAGAAAAACCATATGGTTATATCAATCAATGACGAAAAACATTTGCCAGAACACAACACCCATTTATGATAAAAAATCTCAAAAAAAAAAAAAAATACGGACACAGGCAAAATTCTGAATGAATCTCCAGAGAATTATACTGAGTGAACAAAGTCAATCCCGAAGGGTTACAATTCCACTTATATAACATCCTTGTCAAAATTTAGGGATGGACAGCTGGTTAATGGTTGTTAGTGGTTAAAAAGGGAGCTCAATTCTAGGTAGGGCACATACTCAGGTTTTGGGGCTGTGATCTCTAAAATTGTTTAATCTCCCGAATGTTTTTTATTGATTTTAGAGGAAAATAAAGAAAACATATCTTCATGACTTCGGGGTAGGCAAAGATTTCCGGAATACAGAAAAGGCACTAATACAAGAGAACAAGTAACCAATCATACTCCATTAAATGTAACCTCTGGTTACCAAAAGGCACCATTAAGAGCAGGAAAAACCGCCGAAACCAGTTTGGCTCAGTGGTAGAGCGTCGGTCTGTGGACTGAAAGGTCCCAGGTTCAATTCTGGTCAAGGGCATGTACCTAGGTTGCAGGCACATCTCCAGTAGGGGGTGTGCAAGAGGCAGCTGGTCGATGTTACTCTCTCATCGACGTTTCTAGCTCTCTATCTCTCTCCCTTCCTCTCTGTAAAAAGTCAATAAAATATATTTTTTTAAAAAAAGAGCAGGAAAAACCAAGCCAAGATAGTGAGGAGAGATACTTGCAATGCACATAACTGATGAAGGACTTGGAGGACTCATATTCATAACATATTTAAAAAAAAAACAAACAAAAAAAAAACTCCTACAAATTGGCAAGGAAAAGGCACTCAACAGAAAAAGCAGCAAAAGATTTCATTAGGCACCACACAAAAGAAGACAGGCAAGTAGCAATAAGCATTTAAAAGATCTTACCTCCCTTAGCCATTAGGGAAGTACAAATTAACACTACCACACCACCACAGAATGGTTACAATGAAAAAGACTGACAATAATAAGTACTGGGAAAGAGGTGGAGAAACTGAAAAACTCATACTCCGTTAGTAGATGGGTAAGTTGGTATAATCATTTTGAAAAACTAAAGTAGTATCTACGAAAGCTGAACATTCACACCAGCCCCCCCACAATTCTACTCCTGGGTACATACCCCAAATGACTGTGTATAAACATTCACCAAAATACACGTCCACGTACGTTCGTCACCACACTGGTCATAATAGCCCATATCATGCCTGTCTGTCTACACTCTCTATTTCAAGTGCTTGCTACTTATAGTCTGGACTACTGTCATGGCTTCCTAACCAGTTTCCCTAATTTAATACATCTAAATGCTTCCAGTTTAATCAGAACTAGAAAGCTCTGGTCCTGTTACTCCCCCCAACTATTCAAAAATGTAATGGCTCTCCATCATCCACACAGCAAACTCCAAATTCTGTGGTTTAGTTTTTTTTTTTTTTTTAATTAAAAATTATTTCCAATGGAGTAAAACAGAGATAACATAAAATTTACCCTTTTAAGTGTGTAGTTCTGTGGTATTAAGTACATTCATATTCATAGCATTGTGCAGCGATCAACATGGTTCTTTTCCAACTGAAATTCTGTATCCATTAAACACTAACTCCCCTGCTCCCACTTTACCACCATGCCAGCCCCTGAAACTCACCATTCTACTTCCTGCCTGTCTGATCTTGACTACTCATATAGGTGAAATAATACAGTATTTGTTCTTTTGTGACTGGCTTACTTCATTAGCATGATGTCTACAATGTTACTCCCTGTGGTAGTGTGAGTCAAATTCCATTCCATGTTGATTATCCCTCTTATCTGCTGATGGGCTCTTGGATTCTATGGCTCAGTTTTAAGGCTTTCACAATCTAGTTCAAACCCACCCTTCCATCTCATCTCTACTCACACATATATGGTATATATTCAAACCAAGTTGCTGCTATTTAAACCAAGTAGAATATTTTCACTATTTCTAAAACACGCCTGGGCTTTTCCATCTCCACACACTCAATTTCTCTCCCAATTCTCCTTCCTTTCTAAATTCTCTAAAGTTTTGCCTATACTTGAATGCTATCCTGTCATATTGAGACAGGCCAGTGAGCTAGGACAAGTAGAATAGGGAAACTGAGGCAGCTGAACAATCTGGCAGAGCAATTTATAGTAGATACAGAAGTTCACCTCCCTAGAGACAATGTCTAGGCCTCAGCTGTATTTCGGCTGTAGATGCAGAAAAGCAGCAAAAGGTGGGTGATACCAGGACCAGCTGCAATGACTAATGACCCCCTGCCCTGGTGCTGAGCAATCAGTGGAGACCACCACCCTGAAGGAGCACACCTAGAAAACTGAAGAATATTCTACTGAAACCCTCCCTTGAGACCTTCCCTAAGATTCCTGCAGGCAAGAGGAATACAAGACAAAGGACCCAAGGCTCTGTGCCCCTCTGGGGAGCAGCCCCGGGCCATTAAGTACATTC